TTATCTATCTATCTATCTATTTATCTATCTATCTATTTCTATCTATTTATCTCTATCTATCTATTTAACTCTGTTTATCTTTGTCTCTCTCTCTCTCTCTCTCTCTCTCTCTTTCTTTCTCTATCTATCTCTATGTATCTATCTATCTATCTATCTATCTATTTATCTATCTCTATTTATCTATCTATCTATCTATTTATCTATCTCTATCTATTTCTCTCTCTATCTATTTATCTCTACCTATTTATCTATCTATCTCTGTCTCTGTTTGTCTCTCTCTCTCTCTTTCTCTATCTATCTATCTCTAAGTATCTATTTATCTATTTATCTATCTCTATCTATTTATCTCTGTCTCTGTTTATCTCTCTCTCTCTTTCTCTCTATCTGTCTATCTATCTATCTATTTATCTATCTATCTATTTCTATCTATCTATCTATCTATCTCTATCTATCTATCTATCTATCTATCTATCTATCTATCTATCTATCTATTTTTGTCTCTGTGTCTGTCTCTGTCTGTCTCTCGCCCGAGAGAATCTCGACGAACGGAGATTCCCCATTGAGAATCGGGGAACGTTTCGGAGCACGGAATGACATCATTCCGCGAGGCCCTTCTTTATTCCAATGACGTTCGTCCACACGGTGCCATGTCCGGCATGGATGACCGTGATTCGTGGAGCACATACGAATCAGGCCCAACCTTATCACATTCCTTTGCACTCATCGTGAGTATGAAAACATATTCCGAAACGAATACACACACACACACACACACACGGATAAGAGACGCACGCACACGTCTCGTCGAATTTTGATCGAATAAAATTTTCGATTTGCACACTTACCCCGATCATGTGGTGCTTCTCTTTGTGAGGGGCCTTGAAAATTTTGCACCAGTAGGTGGTGTCCACGTTGTCTGAAACCGGTGGCTATGCATCAAGAAGAACGTACGATTAACCAAGACTAAGATATATTTATATATACATATATATTACTATGTGGCAAACGATTTGAATATTTTAATTCTATATATATATATATATANAAGGAATAAAAAGTATGGTTTAGTTCGTTAAGAAGTATTTTAATGGGCTGGACGCCACGCTGGTTAAAGGACCGAGTGCAGCACCTCTGAGAACGGGTAGAATTGAGAAGACGCACGAGGCTCGCGAACGGCATGCTAAATGCCTAAACATCGCTGCGGGAATTCGGCGTAGCGGGGCCTTAAGCCCTCTTCTTGAAGTCACGGTTTCTTTTCGTGGCGGACATAAATCGAGGGAAGGAAGGGAAGGGAGGAAGAGAAGGAAGATTCTCTTCGCGAATTTTATTATTATCCAGGCTTTTGTCTTGCAAATCCTCCAAATCCCTCCAAGCTTCGTCAAGAATCGAATATCGGACAATTTCTCGTCTCCCTTCTAATCGCTCTAAAGTATAATTACGAACTTTAAGTTAAAACACGATCCCCTTTTTTTCACAAATTTTATTCGAGGATATAAAAAGAGAAAGACAGAAAACGAAAATGGACAAGGAAGAAATGTGGAAGAAGGTACGATTAAATAAGGGATATCGTGTGTCGTGCGAGATCGAGAGATTGAAACGAACACCTCGTAACACCGTTCTTTATGTTTCTTCTTACCGTAAGCCGATGATCCTGAGGGTCGCAGGTCTGCCAGCTACGCGAGAAGATCACGCTCGTGTGAGTTTGGTTCTGCGAACCACCCAGCACTTTGACATCTTGGGACGTGTCCGTGACTAGTGCCGCCTCTGGCTCCTCGATCCCGTGCGAGTCCTAAAAGAAACAATTTGAATCCGCTGCGAATGGGTGAATGTAAGCGAGACGCGTGACCGCGCGCTCTTCCCAACCCTGGATCGAAGAAGAAGAAGAAGAAGAAGAAGAAGAATCCGCAGATTGGAGAGAAACAAGTTTTATCGATCGAGGTGAACGCCAGGTGTTTATCATTCCGACCGAAGTGTAGCGAAACAGTTTTTTTGTCAGCCTCGATTCGCCCCCCTCCCTTCTCTCACGCGCTTTCTCTCCTCTATGCACTCGCTCCCGTACGAGGGTGTGGATCGATTCCACGCAAGGAATTTCCACGAGGGAGGGAAACGGTTCAAGAAGATGAGTGGTAGAACTGATAGAATGGATGAGAAGGATTGCACGCGGTATCGAGAGCGCATAACGATATTAATAACAATAATCTGCGATGTGAAGGGAGAGAGGAGCGCACCGTGACGTTGAGAAGGGTGGCCGCGGGCGTTTGGGTCCGTTGGATTCCGATTATGGTCGGGGCGTTAAAGTTGTAAGGGAAGTCCCTTTCCTGCTCTTAATGAATCGAAATAATTGGCCGAGCTTGTCGTCACGCTTGTTGCGTATTTTGTAACGATCGCGCGCGAAGAGGAAATACTGTATAATGTGAGTACGTATGGCGAAAAGAACCGAAGGGGAGGGAAGAATCGCGATAAAAGGATTGGCGGATAATCTGAACAACGATCGTCGAATAGAGTTTTCGTTTTACAAATTGAGCGGGGGATCTTTTTCGAGATCGAGATCGAGATTTCGAGAAAAATGTCAAAGCGAGAGTTTTATCGGCGAGGAGATCGAACGATCGCAACGCGTGTTATCTGTTCCCGTTTAATTGCGATTCGCCTCGTAATTCGTACGAGCGCGCGTTCTCACGAGATTCGCGGGGGTTTTCTCATGGCTCACCCGGATATTCTCATCGTAGCCGGGCTAATTATCACGTCCGTGGCATTGGTGATTAAAAAAAAAAAAGGAAAAAAGAGTTGGAGATTCCTTGGTAATTTCAACGCGATTCAACCCTCGCGATCGACTCGCGAGTAACATTTTAATTAATTTATAATACCTCGTGTCGTCGAGGAAACGACGTAGATCGACGTTGATTACGCGTTTAAGATCTCGCGAAGTGTGAGAATGCGATCGTCGCGTTACGAAAATTATGCAAACGATCGCGAGCGGAATTCTCGTAATTCTCGTGACTCGTTAAAGTCTAAAAAATAATACGTAACTAACAACGTTTCTTCTTTTTAAGAGTGGATTTAAAAACAACGAGGTAGAGATGTTTCGATCGTACAGATACTCGAGAAACGACATATTTTAATTCCAACGGTTAAAATTACTGGTTTCATTATACAAATTTTTATACGTTAAAAATAATACGTAAATATTATTTTCTTTTGAAATTGCATATTATATTGGTTTGATCGAAATGGATGCTACGAGGAAGCTGTTCGCATCTCTGGCGTCCTCCTTTTAGGAACAAGTTTCTCTTGATTTTTGCAAACCACAAATACGCACTAGCAGCATGGTCGTGTGCAATCCCTCTCCGACTAGAGAGAAAGAGAGATACGATGGAGCATAACGGAGAACGAGAAAAGTCGTAGGTATTCTTTCGAGTACGAATCGAGTCACGGATGCATGGGAAAAGAGGCACGCGTGCGTGGATGCGGAAAATTAATTCGGCGGATGTGACGTCATGGATCGGTACTCGCGTTTCCTGAGGGAGTCTTCTGAGAAACCTGTACGTGTTTCGGAACACGTCCCTTTATCCCTTATTACGATCGAACGTTCATTAAAATTCGCCCAGGAGGAATCGAATGGAATTAATCGAAACGAGAAATATATATATATA